TAAGGAAAGGGGCAATTGCATGAAAGTAACCTTTTGAAAATAGTTGGAGTGCAGTGTAGTAGATCGCGAATGGAAGTATAATCTATCAATATTTGCTCAAATTACCTTATGGTAGAGATGATAGTGCGTGATTAATCCTGAATTGTTGGGCTTTTTCCAATGCACAATCACAGAAGGTGAACCAACAGCCGGAGAGACAACAATGTCGGATGGGGCTCCGTTTGGTACTAAGAAGAAGGAAAAAGTTTCGCAAAAATAGATATGAAAGTCCCCATAATTTATGGTCAAAAATCTGAAACTTACTACTCTCATCAGTGTCGAACATTTGTCTAGCTGGAGGTGATCTGCCAAACCCATTGTCCACCTCTAAGAAGAGCGCATATGAAGCATGAGGTTGTAAACGACAGATACTGTATGGACCGCTCATGTTGCCAGGAAAACTGAAGAAATATGTATTCATTGAAAAAAATGGGAAAAAAGGAAAAATCTCAATGACTCACAATTCTTTCCTCGGTTCGTTATCGTTTAGCCTTTGTAAAGTGAAGTAGTAGCCAGCTAAGGTGCCTTGCATATTTGGTGGTGGTTCTACAGCAACGGAAATACATCCTTCAGTCGTATTTCGGATTGCCAGCACAGTCGGCGCTACGGTCGGAGCTAAACTACATGAATTTTCAGAGTTTTTCCCATTCGGCTCAAATTTGGTAGTAGGATTCATTCTCTTGTAAAATCCGTGAGATATTTTTACAACCAGTTTTTATGGAGCGTAAACAAATTCTTATTAGTACATAACTAAAAAAATAATGAATGCTATACTTTTTTTCAAAGTATCACTATTTATATGTTATTAGATTTATTTTCTAATATTCCACACAATTTTCATCCTCTAAGTCCTAGAAAGCTTGCTGAGTGCACATAAGATAAGGCAGGGAAGACTTTATAGAAAACAAAAAATTGCGATTACTGAATTTTAAAAAACGACTTTTACCTTCACCGAGTGTCCTAAATCGAGTTTCGG